CCTTTGACTTTGCAGGTCCCAGCCCGGATGACGTCGTTCTCAATGCTCAGAGTTCAGCTAAAGGTTTGGCTATTCGGAGAAAGATATAAATTGTTCCCTAATAGATAGGCAGGCTTCAAGTCGAAACAAGCTGCGTCAAAGTCAGCAGGCGACAAGAAGAACCAGGGTGACCTGGCTGGTGGCATGAACAATCTTAGTGTCCAGGAGAAGGTGGCTGTCAAGAGCAAAAACTTGGATGTCTTGTCCGAGTACAATAAATCTCAACGGAAGAGGGCAATGAACTTTGCAGTTATCGGTCAGTACTAATCCCCCACGCCATGGTGGACGCCGCTGACGGGGAATTTAGGTCATGTTGATGCGGGAAAAAGCACACTTATGGGACGCTTACTGGCGGATTTGAAAGCTGTTGACCAACGGACATTGGAGAAGTACCAGCGGGAGGCTGAGAAGATCGGTAAAGGATCTTTTGCCCTTGCATGGGTACTTGACCAGGGTACGGAGGAGAGAGCTCGCGGTGTCACGATTGACATTGCGACGAACAAGTTCGAGACGGAGAATACTATCTTCACGATTGTGGATGCTCCAGGCCACAGAGATTTTGTTCCGAACATGATCGCAGGAGCCAGCCAGGCAGACTTTGCTGTCCTAGTTATCGACTCTGGCACGGGAAATTTCGAGTCAGGGTTGAGGGGCCAAACCAAGGAGCACGCCTTGTTGGCGCGGAGTATGGGTGTGCAAAGAATCATCGTTGCGGTGAACAAGATGGACGCGGTAGAATGGAGCCGGGATCGGTTTGAAGAGATTGAACAACAGATCTCGTCGTTTTTGACGACTGCTGGGTTTCAGGCGAAGAATATCGCCTTCGTTCCCTGCTCGGGCATCAGGGGAGACAATGTCAGTCGACGCACCGATGATCCGAATGCCTCATGGTACACGGGCCGCACTCTGGTCGAAGAGCTGGAGGCAACCGAGCCTTACAGCTATGCGTTGGACAAGCCATTGCGCATGACGATCAGCGATGTTTTCCGTGGCAGCGTGCAGAATCCTCTTTCGATCTCTGGTCGGATTGATGCCGGTAGCTTGCAAATGGGCGACCAAATTCTGACTATGCCTAGCGGGGAGACGGCTACCATTCGAAGCCTGGAAGTGGACGGCGAGCCGAGCGACTGGGCCGTGGCTGGTCAGAATGTGGTTCTCAATCTGGCGAATATTGATCCTATTCACCTTCGGTCTGGCGATGTTATTTGCCGTGCATCAGCACCTGTCGCGAATATCACCTCTTTCACAGCAAAGGTGTTAGCGTTCGATCATCTGATGCCTAGCATGGTAGATATCCACCGAGGACGTCTCCATGTTCCCGGACGAATCAGCCGCTTGATCGCGACGCTCGATAAGGGATCTGGCTCGGTAATTAAGAAGAAGCCTAAGATTGTCCCGCCTGGTAGTGTGGCGCGCATTGTGGTCGAGATGGACCAGGCAGTGCCTCTGGAAGCACCTACGAGGATTGTTCTACGATCGGGAGGCGACACGGTGGCTGCTGGCTTGCTTGAATGATGCCGAGTACATGATAGAGGTAGTCTGAAGTACATAGATACCACTAGAATATTATGAATAGGGATTGCAAATTCTGTCGTAGATCGCCTGCTTTGCTGTTTTCCAAATTGCCACCAAATATTGGTCTTAATCCATAGATAGAGATGAAGACATACGATGCATTTCCTAGCAATGGTACTTGTCGAACCTGATAGCTTGACTCTTTAGGGTTAGTTGCAGAGTTACTCCGTAGGGCTATGAATACAAGCCTGTAAGGCTAAGAAATTGACCAGCTGTCCACGTGGTGTCCCATATGCAGTATGCGTAGAGTGAGATTATATCCTTCAGCCCGAGATTTGGGTGCACTGTTCCGAGTTTTGGCTCAATAATAGGTATTAATATTGTCAAGGCCGTAGCCATTGGATATTGTCCACGTATGCAAGAACTGCCAATTGAGTGAAGCAAAAGTGTCCTCTTCTAGCAATTTCGATCAACAGCTCCACAGTTCCCTGGCCACCTGAGCCCTGATTTCCCTTTTGGGAATCGCCCTGAATGAACGCCTCGGGATTTCGCCGGCAAAACTCGGGCGGTGAAAGACCCTGCTGACTCAGTCGAGGCCTGGGAGGCCTGCAGCAGCCAATCACAGAGCGAGAAGTAACCTTAAATGCAACACCCATGAAAAGGCCAGCATGGCCGCTGCGTTCTCTTTGCCGCCGCCATCCCATACAAGAAGAACAAAGCTGGCCGTAGCTTCCTGACATTCTTCTTTCTCTTTCTTCAACTCATTCCTTCGACAACCCCGGTCGCCTCTCGCTTGTTTCTCTTTTTCTCCTAACCCTTGACTGTCTTGTCATTCTTCCTTTACATTGTAAGGAAGTTTGTTTACTGGGACTTGAGGATTTTGGAGCGTGTTTTGGGAGATAGACACGTAACCTCAACCGCCTGGGATTGAGACATCCTGACAGACTGTACACTTCTCTATCAGGCCTATTGTAAAGGACCTCCTTTTTACACCTCACATATTCACCATGTCGCGGCTATCGAGTCGCAATGGCGCGGCCAAGCCGTTCACTGCTTGGACCACTGTCTTCTACCTCCTCCTTGTCTTCATTGCGCCTCTGGCCTTTTTCGGAACAGCACACGCTCAGGAAGACTCAGTACAGGACAACTATGGCACTGGTACGTCTTTTGAATATTATATTTCCTGAAGACTTGAAATTCTTTTGCTAATACGGTGTTGCCAATAGTCATCGGTATCGATCTCGGAACAACATACTCTTGTGTCGGTGTGATGCAGAACGGAAAGGTTGAAATCATCGCCAACGACCAAGGAAACCGTATCACTCCTTCCTATGTCGCCTTCACTGATGAAGAGCGCCTGGTTGGTGACGCCGCCAAGAACCAATACGCCGCGAACCCTACCCGGACCATCTTTGACATCAAGTGAGTTTGACCGTCGGGTTTTTGATAGCTGAAGAGTCTGTGCTAACCTCTACCAGGCGTCTGATTGGACGCAAGTTCGATGATAAGGATGTCCAGAAGGACGCCAAGAACTTCCCCTTCAAGATTGTCAACAAGGATAGCAAGCCTGTCGTCAAGGTCGAAGTCAACAAGTCCCCCAAGATCTTCACCCCCGAGGAGGTTTCTGCCATGGTTCTTGGAAAGATGAAGGAGATCGCTGAGGGCTACCTCGGAAAGAAGGTTACCCACGCGGTTGTCACCGTTCCCGCCTACTTCAACGACGCCCAGAGACAGGCTACCAAGGACGCTGGTACCATTGCCGGCCTGAACGTTCTCCGTGTTGTCAACGAGCCCACCGCCGCCGCTATCGCCTACGGTCTGGACAAGACTGGTGATGAGCGTATGGTCATCGTGTACGATCTTGGTGGTGGTACTTTCGATGTCTCCCTTCTGTCCATCGACAACGGCGTCTTCGAGGTCTTGGCTACTGCCGGTGACACCCACCTTGGTGGTGAGGACTTTGACCACCGCGTCATGGACTACTTCGTCAAGCAATACAACAAGAAGAACAACGTTGACGTCTCCAAGGACCTCAAGGCCATGGGTAAGCTGAAGCGCGAAGTCGAGAAGGCCAAGCGTACTCTGTCTTCCCAGATGTCCACTCGCATTGAAATCGAATCCTTCCACAACGGCGAGGACTTCTCCGAGACACTCACCCGCGCCAAGTTTGAGGAACTCAACATGGATCTGTTCAAGAAGACCCTGAAGCCCGTCGAGCAGGTGCTCAAGGATGCCAAGGTCAAGAAGTCCGATATCAACGACATTGTTCTGGTCGGTGGTTCCACTCGTATTCCCAAGGTCCAGGCTCTCCTCGAGGAGTTCTTTGGTGGCAAGAAGGCCTCCAAGGGTATCAACCCCGATGAGGCTGTCGCTTTCGGTGCTGCCGTTCAGGGTGGTGTCCTCTCTGGCGAGGAAGGTACCGGCGATGTCGTTCTCATGGACGTCAACCCTCTTACCCTGGGTATTGAGACCACCGGCGGTGTCATGACCAAGCTCATTCCCCGCAACACTGTCATTCCTACCCGCAAGTCTCAGATCTTCTCGACCGCCGCTGACAACCAGCCCACCGTCCTGATCCAAGTTTGTAAGTATTTGCCATTGTGCTTGATTGAAGATATGGAGATGTACTGACTGATGTCTCAGATGAGGGAGAACGTTCTCTGACCAAGGACAACAACCTTCTCGGCAAGTTCGAGCTGACTGGCATCCCTCCCGCCCCTCGTGGCGTGCCTCAGATTGAGGTCTCCTTCGACCTGGATGCCAACGGTATCCTGAAGGTTAGCGCCAGCGACAAGGGTACTGGCAAAGCCGAGTCCATCACCATTACCAACGACAAGGGTCGTCTGTCCCAGGAGGAGATCGACCGCATGGTCGCCGAGGCCGAGGAATTCGCCGAGGAGGACAAGGCTATCAAGGCCAAGATTGAGGCTCGTAACTCGCTGGAGAACTATGCCTTCAGCCTGAAGAACCAGGTCAACGACGAGAACGGTCTTGGTGGCCAGATCGATGAGGATGACAAGCAGACTATTTTGGATGCTGTCAAGGAGGTTACCGACTGGCTGGAGGACAACGCTGCCACTGCCACCACTGAGGACTTTGAGGAGCAGAAGGAGCAACTGTCCAACGTCGCCTACCCCATCACCAGCAAGCTGTATGGCTCTGCACCGGCGGATGAGGAGGAGGAGCCCAGCGGACATGACGAACTGTAAAATTACTTTAGAGGGATTTACGGAGTTTTGTAATTGATTCACTATGGATTTCCTTTGGGAATAAGCCAGAGTCGCCTCGATTTATGATAGAGGCAAAATAAATGATACCTCATTGATATGTACTTTCTTTTTGCCTAGGTTATTCACGTACTATACAAAGCGGTTGCTCAATCGAGCCCAATAAATCCTGTACTCGCTTATGTAGAATACGCCAACAGGGGATTATATCCAGTCAGCTCAATGGCTGTTCTGGAGAATGTAATCCCGGACCACCTCGACAACGACCTGGTGATCGTGCTCCTGCTTCAACCCACTGACAACAATGACGCCCACCACACCATCAACGCTCCTGACCCGAACAGGGAACGCACCGCCGTGGATGGCATAGTCATCCGCAGCACCACCACTCGAGCTGTTGAGCGCGTACTTCTTCACAAACGCCTCCTCCACCTCGGACGCACTGAGCCCCGTACTCGCCAGCATCTTATTCCGCATCAACCAGCTGGACACGCCCCACCGCAGCACGGTGTTCCGCTTCCGCCTCACCCACACCTCATTATCGGCGATGGTGCCCGGTTCCGTCGCGCACTGGAAGATAACGTGCGGCTCGGAACCGCCGATTAGAGAAATCGAGATCAGGGCCGGTTTGCGCTGGTCGGCGGGGAGGGAGAGGATGCGGTCGCGGAGGGCGAGGCCGAGGGACCAGGCGGTTGTGGAGGTGAAGGAGGGGAAGATCACTGCCGAGGAGGTTTCTTGGGCGGCGAGCTCGCGGACCTGGTGGTTTCTTTGAGTTAGTGTGTGTTCGTTAGGATTGGGGGAGTTGCTGGCTGGCGTACGTCTGTGCTGGTTGGGCCGAGTGGTCTGTCCATTTTGGAGGGTTTAAGTGTGTATAGGAGGAAGGCGGGAAATGAGGAGAGAGAAGATGAAGATGAAGAAATGAAGAGTATATATGCGGATGATTCGGTGAGTCTATGGAGTATCTACCTAGGTTTCGATTGTCGCATATGGAAGGGATCTGAAATTAAGGAAGGTCCTCCCGCGGCGGGGTCTTTATGACGTCGGCGGAAGGAAGATAGGTTGGGAGAGTCGACATCTTCGTTCAGAATTGAGGATATTATCTGATGAAGAGTACAGGAAAATTTCAAGTGAAATTTCAGTATACAGAGGATAGCAAGTGCTTTAAAATATGCTGATGGAACCCACCAATGTCTGTCCGGCTGTCAGCATGCATGGACAGCGCGGCTTCCCCTCATCTGCAGGTGCTTGATCATCCTGTGATAACACGAACTCCACTTCCATGACTTTCGAATCACTTTGATAGCAGAAGATATAGAAGATACGGAAGACCTGATCGGATGCGCCGACAACTCACCAAAAGAGCATGTGATGAGTGCATATCTCGCAAGGTGAAGTGTAGCGGCTCCAGGCCCTGCGATACTTGCCTGAAGTCGTTCAAGGAGGCGGACTGCACGTACCTCAAGCCCCCGGGAAGGAGGGGACCAAAAGCCCGACGATATACCAACAAAGGCAGGCCCGCCAGTGATGGATCGATTGGCGATGCTCGTACGGAGGAAACTGCTGCAAGCACCCAGTCGGTCGAGAATCGTCCGGTAAACCGTGCTGACGTCCACGTTGATGCTGAGGGGGATGACTCCCTGTCTGCATCAGGCTGGAGAAATGAGATATGCATTCCCCAGTCGATATTGGTCTATATCGTGCGCCTGTACCAGACTTTCTCGTACAGTGTTTGGCCGGTGGTCCACGCAGATGCGCTTTTGCAACAGCTGGAGAACGGCACCTGCGATGCGCAGACACTTTGCTTAGTGCTGGCGCTGTGTGCCGCGACGATGGCACAGTTGCAGCTTGCTCCCACCGCTGGCGAAAATGCGCAGACGGTGGACAGTGGCCTGCTCAAATTGGAGTGTATGCGACTTCGGCAGCGGAGTGATTACAGGGAGAACCTTGACGTCAGGGGTGTGCTTGTTTCGTTCTTTCTGCATGTGTATCATGCAAAGATTGACCAGCAGAAGTCGGCTATGCTGTTTATACAGGAGGCCATCGCGGGCGCGAGATTGTTAGGCTTGGACACGAACGAACGGAACGGTGTCGTTACGGATGGCGTTGTTGTAAACGAGGAGATTGTGTTTCTGTTGCTGTGGGTGTCTGAGAGGTAGGTGACCGTAGGTCTGTAAGCACAGTAAGCAGTTCGTTGGTACTGATGCAGCACAGAGGATATGCTATGCATCTTGGTGTGAGGCCTTCATACACTGATCCAGTCCAGCTTCCGGATCCAGCACATCTGGCAATGAACCCTCACGCGCGGGGTTTACTCGAGCTTTTCAATCTTTTTGTCACATTCGACAAGATCCAGGCACGACGATGCCGTAGTGGCAGTTTGGCTCAAGCTTTATCTGCAGCTAATCTAGCTGAAACAGAAGCAGCACTATCGCTACTAGCCTTCAACTCGTACGACCAGGCGTCCACACGGCTGGCGGACTGTTACATCACCAGAGAATGGATGAGAACTATTGTCTGGCAGGAAGCACTATCTCGGCGTCTGCTATCCTCGACCTCTACCACCGAGGTGATGACCTTTCGATTCCCTGTAGTTGTCGGTCGTGATCTGTTAATGTCCCTGCAAGGACTGTCTGCGACAGACTTGCTGCCTTTGGGGCGGGACCAGGTGAGTCTCATGCACACTACTGCAAGAAATGTCATCGAATGAGAGAATGACATTAGTATAGCTATTGAAGTGTTTTGAGGTTGCCAACTCTCTGGCAGATACCATCATCTATACTCCCCCAAGCTTGTTTTCGAACGCCCTTCAGGTCGGGCCTCAAGACTTCCTACACGCTTTGTACCAAAAGATTCTGCCATTTCTGGAGCATGATCCGATGCTGAAATCAATTCTTCGTGCGAAAACAGCCGAGGCTTTGGTGATGGCCCCTGCTCGTGTGAGTGTCGGGCTTGTTGCGAGGCTGAATGTGGAAGAAAGGACTGTCTCAGAGCAAGCTGACATTGATCGAAGTATCATTCTTATTCAGCAGCCAAAGATGAGAACGAATGACAAAGATCACTCCGCAATCTGGAGGACAATTCGTCCTGAAGTATCACCTTTCTCCATTTCCTCGTACACTTGAGGTAGATCCCTGAATGGCCGTACTCGGATTTCTGGTTTGACCATTCCCCGGCGGACCAACTCAACCGCTTCCATACATTCTTTGAGCGAACCAACCAGATTGCCAGTGATCCTGAGCCCTTTGATGACAATGGTGCAGATGGGGGTCTCCAGCACAGGACGCCCTGGGGGAATGCCGACGCAGCTCAGTGTGCCACCGACGCGCAGCATGTCGCATGCATGGGCAAAAGCTTTTGCATTGCCGGCTGTCACAACTACAGCGTGTGCCCCCAGTCCAGTGATTTCGTGGACACGCTGCACAGGGTCGGTCGATTTGAAGTCGATGAACTGGACAGCACCAAGTCCGAGAACGAAGTCTCGTTTATCTCCAGCGTCGACTCCGATAACCAATGCGCCATGGGCTTTTGCGTATTGAACTGATGCAGTATCAGCTGGCCGTCTTGTGGTTTGACGAGAGAACAATCTCACCCGCGAGGTGTCCGAGGCCGCCTCCAGCACCCACTACAACGAGCCAGTTTCCCGCCCTGATGTTGGCGTTGAGAACGGCCTAACACGTTAGAAGACTACGAAACCGATGGGGGCTTGCAAACCTTGTAAGCCGTCACCCCAGCGCATAAGACCGGGCCAATGACTTTTGGATCGATGTCGTCCGGCAGGATTGTCAGATAGTCCGCGTCGAGGGCAATGTACATTTGGAAGCTGCCATCCTCGTGGTGCAGATGGTTGGTGCTTTTGATGCAATACTGTTCTGTCCCAGCGAGGCAGAACTCGCATCGTCTGCAGATACGACTGGCGAAACGAATGCCCACCAGACCTCCAACGTTCAAGTCAGGTCCGCAACCAGGACCCAGTGCCACAATCCGACCGACTCCTTCGTGTCCACCAACGTGAGGACGCTTGATGTTCGTGATGGGATTTCCGTCGGCACCGGCTGCAGTTCCATTCTTGGTGTGGAGATCTGCATGCTTAGGAGAATTGCCTCGAGTTGAGACTGGTGAACTCACCACTCTGACAAACACCGGTGTAGAGGACCTTTGCCAGCACCTCATTTTGGCCCGGGACAGGGACAGGATAGTTATCGTCAAATTGCACCTTGCCTCCGAGTTCGGAGACAAGAGCTACAGTCTGAGTCTGTGGGATTTGCATTGTTAAGGGTGTAGATACGAAATTTGGAGCAAGCTTCAGTCTTTCAATCTGGATACTCTCGTCTGGTTATGAGCGTAATAAATAGCCGCATGGATAGAACATGTAGCACAACATCATGTATAAGAATTATAGCAATCATGCATCACTTTGTTGGCATTGTTGTACGCTATATTTCTCCAATTGGCTCTTTGTCCTGCATCAATGAGACTCAACTGGACAGGAAGCCAGTGTCTGCTCATCACAGTCGATTGTCTGTGTAACCTCGAGACTGAGGCTTGCAATTCTCCGAGTGAGCAAACATGAGGTGTTCAGTATTCGCCTGAGCGAGGCGCTGTCATGTGTTGAGAATAGGTACTCGGTCCTCAGTACACCTTCTCGTTTCCCTGGGATTTCTCTCTTCCCCGCATTAAAACAGGCGTAATTATAACAGGCTAATCTGCGCTAACTAGTAACATCATTAGCAGGATCTCAATGTCTCACTTCTCACCCCAGACTCCCAGAGTCCGTCTCCGCCTTCTGCACTCCACACGTCGTGTCTCTACGGGGTCAGTCAACTCCAGACATCAATTTTCCTCAAGCCAACCTGCGCATTTCTCCGAGGCATTTCTCCGAGCATATGACGTACCGCAGTTTTATTGCATGACTCTGCATCGACCAATGATGATTGTTCATTCATTCCCTCTTCCTGGCTGAGTGTTGAAGAGATTGAGTGATCTAGATGCTCTGCCGTTGCCGTAGATCACCGGCTTATCGACAAAACAAGCTCGTCGACCTGAAGAAGCCGTTCATGCCTCCTTTCTGACTCTCTGTATGCTGCTAAACTCCTTCCCTCTCGTTGAATTCTCGACCAGAATGACGGCGGCACCTAGCTTTTTCATTTGCCTCTGTTTTAGATGCAGAAATACGATTGATGGAAATTCCCAGAGTGGCTAGCTTTTGCATAGTTATGGTCTGGGCGAATCCGTGCAGGGGTCAACTCCGGCGGGATGAAGCTCTCTCCGCATTTTCGATACTCTTCCTCGCTAAGACACTCTCGTCTAATCATGATTCGATTGGAGAGTGACAAAGTGAGCATCGCAATGGTCAACTATAAAACCGGGGTTGCGGCAGTGTACAGGAACTCTTCTGAGAACCAGGACGCAAGTTCCTGACTGACAATGAGATTCCTTCACCTTTTCGCCCTCGCGCCTCTGGCCCTGGCTGCGAGTGTCCCTCGGGCCACCATCCCAACCTACAATGCGGTGACCGTCTTCAGTCCCCCGGCTGACTACAACGTCCCGCGCGTCCTGTACGCGCGCAACCTGGAGCTGCCCAACGGGGACCTCCTATGCATCTGGGAGAACTACTCCAAGGAGCCCCCGCAAGTGTACTTCCCCGTCTACCGGTCCCGTGACCATGGACGGACCTGGAAGGAGATCTCGCAGGTCCACGACCAGGTGTATGGCTACGGATTGCGCTACCAGCCGGAGCTGTACAGACTTCCCGAGCGCATTGGGTCATTCCCCGCCGGGACGATTCTGATGGCGGGCAGCGCCATTCCCACCGATCTGTCGTCTACGCACATTGAGCTGTATGCGTCGCACGACTCCGGTGTGACGTGGAAGTTTGTGAGCCACATTGCTGCTGGCGGGACGGCCATTCCCGACAACGGGTTGACGCCTGTGTGGGAGCCTTTCCTGATGGCTCAGTAAGTCTCCATCGGCTGAAAGTCATTCCAGTTCTAACCCCCTGTGACAGTAATGGCAAGTTGATCTGCTACTATTCCGACCAGAGAGCCAACACCACCCACGGCCAGAAGCTGGTCCACCAGGTTACGACGGACCTCAAGAACTGGGGTCCCGTCGTTGACGATGTGTATGTCTACCCATCCTCCTATGTCTACCCATCGCTGTGGCGGAACGAGACTGACTATAACAGTGCCTACCCAACCTACACCGACCGTCCCGGCATGCCCGTGGTCGCCAAGCTCCCCAACGGCAAATACATCTACACCTACGAATACGGCTCCTTCTTCGGCACCAGCAGCTACTCCTTCCCCGTCTACTACCGCATCTCGTCGGACCCGGAGAACTTCCTGTCCGCTCCACACCAGCGCCTTGTCACGACCACGGGCTCTGTCCCCACCTCGTCGCCTTACGTCGTCTGACCCCCTACGGCGGCGTCAACGGAACCATCATCGTGAGCGCATATTCCTCCAGCAGCGTGTTCATCAACCAGGCGCTGGGAGAGGGTCCGTGGAGGGAGATCCCTACGTCTGAGCCGAACGCTTATACCCGGTCGCTGCGGGTTCTCAATGAGGACCCGAAGATGCTCTTGATTAATGGCGCTGGTGTCTTGAATGGGCAGACCAACAAGGTTACTGTGACCTTGATGAACCTGGAGGAAGCACTGCGTTAGTACTCGATGGTTACTCAGTAGTGTAGGATTTGACTAGAGGTAAAGATAAAAGATTAGGGTCAATGCAGTCCATATACAGTCAGATGAACTATAACTTATTCCTCTCATGCAAAGTATCTGCTTGCGATTGCCGCATATCTAACTAACAGATAGTAGTAAGTTGTAAAGGGCGGTAACTCCTTTAACTACACCTCTGTATAGAAGCTATTAAAGGCACATATAACAGAGTTATCAGGCCAGACCTTTAGGTGGGACTGCTCTTTGGAATCACCATTATGACCTTGTAGCGCTGTTGTTAGTAGTTGCCTGGAATTCTTCCTTACAAGGACATTTGATCTTACTCTAATTACCGTCAATATATTACATCTGCATGTACATGGCAGGCTTGGCAGCCCGTATGAGACTCCACTGCAGCTCAATCCTGCTGGATCCTCCGCAAACTCTGATCCATATGTGTACAACCTGATTGGGTACATTTGTAATTGAACTAATGCAATACACGACGCTTGATGATCCTGTTCGATAGAGAGGAATACTAGACAGAAATAAACCATTGGTACTGCACAGAGCCACAGACAGAGGTTCAGGCGGGAAACATCATGATGAGTATGTATATTTATATTCGTAACCAGGGGAAGGGCCATAGTATGCTCCAAAAGCTATTATGTAAAAAGCAGCTTATCCTTTAGATATGTACAAAAAGCTACAAATGAGACCAGAGAGGCACTTGTTGATCATTCTCTATAATTGTGATGATTATTGCCGGACGCATTCCGGGTTCGCCTGGTATCATTTGCGGGGTACAACGAAGATCATCAAGATTCATCCGCGTGTCGTCTCGAGGTCAAAGAGACGCTGCTCAAAGGAATCAACGATGACGACTCCATCTTTACAGCTACGATGCATTGACCCGTCACGTCATCGCGACCATGATTTGCCCATCATCAACCAACCATTCGACTCAATCCCGACACCACTCACCAATCATTTGTTCCTCGCATTACATTGGAGGTATGGATCATTTGCATCGACATCACGAGTCAGGCATCAAGCATAGCCGAGCGGGTCGGGACTCGGCTCCAGCATGCTTGCTGACTCGCAACGCAATAGACACAGAAATCAGCCGTCTGGGACTGGATACGACCGGCACTAAACCGCGTGGCATCAGAGTCAGTCACCTATCAGGACCTCGAAACGGCGGGATCATCCGTAAGCTTTCCTGTTCAGCGAGCTTCGTGTTGCGGGTGTGACACTCACACTGACGCCTCAGATCACGCAACGGCAGGGATGATTGGCATGCAATGCATTGACCTGCTTCTCTTTACCTTGGTTATAAGTCGTGAGGTTCGTCGCCTTTTTCTTGCAGCTGTCTCAGAGGCTTTGAGGTACTGAGCAATATGGGGAAAAGACTTGGCCTGCTTCGGGCCATTTATCTGGTGTCCGCCAGTTGTATGGGCTCGTTTGCCTTTGCGTTTGACACTGGGGTGATCAGTGCGTCTGCCCCTGTGATAAAATGGTCATGAACTAAGGCAATTAACAGGCGGCGTTCTCACGCTGGAATCCTTCCAGAAGGACTTTGGATATACTCAAGCGCAGAAAACCACCGTCAACTCGAATGCGGTCTCCATTCTGCAGGCCGGCGCGTTTTTCGGATGTTTCTTCACCACACCGATAGCCTCGCGGCTGGGCCGCCGGACCGGGCTGATCATCAGCTCGCTGGTGTTTAGTCTCGGCACGATCCTGCAGGTCATCAACGCGCACACGCTGGGCACCTTCTACGCAGGCCGCGTGATTGCCGGGATTGGAATCGGCGCGGCGACGGTGCTGATTCCGATGTATGCGGCGGAGATGTCGCCCAAGGAGTTCCGCGGGCGGCTGGGGGCGTGTTTCCAGTGGTTCTTTGCGTGCGGCGTGATGGTCGCGTACTGGGTGACGTACGCGGTGTCCAAGGACCAGCCGTCGGCCACGAAGCAGTGGCAGATCGCGCTGGGGCTGCAGCTGCTGCCGTCGACGCTGCTGCTGGCGGGCATGTGCACGGTCAAGGAGAGCGCGCGGTGGCTGGCGACCAAGGGCCGGACCGACGCCGCGTGGGATTCGCTGCGGTGGGTGCGCGGCGGCGAGAAGACGGCCGAGCTGCAGCAGGAGTTTGACGAGATCATGACCGGGATCGAGGAGGAGGCGCGCGTGCGGGAGAACTGGACCTGGCGCGAGCTGCTGCTGCCGGCGAATCGGTACCGGATCTTCATTGCCGTCACGATCCAGCTGTGTGCGCAGCTGACGGGCAACACCTCGCTGGCGTACTATGCGACGCAGATCTTCGCGGCGGTCGGCGCGGGCGCCTCGGCCAAGCTGGTGACGGGCTTCTTCGGAGTGGTCAAGGTGGTCGGGGTCAGCGTCTTCCAGCTGTTTGTCATGGATCGGATTGGGCGCCGGGTGCCGTTCATGGTCGGCGCGGGTGCGATGGGCTCCTTTATGCTCATCATCGCGTGTGTGCTGGCGACGCACCCGACCAAGGCGTCCACCGGGGCTGCTGAGACTGGAGCGACGCACGCGGGCATCGCGATGATCATCATGACTTATGCCGAGGCATTTAGCTTCAACATGTCCTGGGGGCCACTGCCATGGCTGTACGTGGGAGAAATCTTCTCCAGTCGCACGCGCGAGGTGGGAGTGACGGTGGGGGCGGCGTCGCAGTGGCTGTTCAACTTTATGATGTCGCAGGTGACGCCGCACGCGATTGAGAATATTGGATGGCGGATGTTTCTGATGTTTGCCATTTTCAACTATGCTATTATCGGGTATGCGTGGTTCGTTTTGCGAGAGGTATGTCTTTCCTTCGGTCTCCTTTCTTCACTATGACTAAGTACTAACCACCGTAGACGTCCCGCCATTCTCTGGAAGAAATGCAAAATGTGTTTGGGGGAGGACCTCGGCAAAAGGGCACCGACGGCGAGGCAGAGCCTTCAGTCAAGACAGCTTGAGTCTTCGGTTCAGGAGGGTGTTGATTGGAGAGACCCTCGTGTGATTGAAGCTGCACGTAATGGTATCCGCTTATACTTTGGCTGGAAGGTTATAGTTCTGAATGTGGCGTAGGCGGTTTCACATGTATGCAGGCAGCAGCAGAAGACAAGAGTCATGGACTCGTGTTTCGCTTCTTGATTGACTCGATTGACTCAATAGTGAGTTAAGACTCTACTCGTGCGACTACAAGATACTATCCATAAGGCTGAGTCTCACTGAGACAGATCAGCAGAACGGATCGACAGACTCTTGACATTGTCTTGCTATCCTCTCCAGTCTGCTCATACACTAGATACTCTGTCCAAGTGAATAAAAGGAATACGAGCGCTAAGCAACGGTGCTATCCGGAAGTACCCTAGTACAGCTCGACAGCTGCCAGGGACGGAGCCATTTGAGGCATTTACATTGGTTCTTCTCCCCGGCCTTCCCTTCTCCGCAGTGGCAAAGTTTTTCGTCTTGTTTCCATAGGACCGTTTTCCCTTCTCCCGGGGCCTTATGAGACGATCGATATTCAGTTGGATCAACAAGGTTGCAGTCAAGTAGGTAGTCAAAAAGTATCATGACAATGCACTCCTATCAAAGAAGCAACTATAAGAGACAGCACAGACAGGCACAGACACGAGGCAGATAGCAAAGATCACCGTCTGGTCTTTGAACCTCCCTGACCCTGTTTCCGGCCCGGTTCCATGGTGGTTTTTGCCTGGGAGAGACCGCAGGGGACATTTCTAGACCAATCGCGTGGATTATCCCCAGGCCGGTGATCGTACCGATTGCTACGGCCACGGCTCTTTGACCTTTTCTTTACCTTTGGCCGGTGTTCTGCCATGTCCCCTCCCGGGATTTGAGTGTTATCGCTATTCACAGCCATGTGGCTGTGGCATTATTATATATCGCCTCGTGGGTCTGGTCTTCGAGTCTAGACAGTAGCCGATACTCTCTATCTAGCTACCCCATATTCTCCAGTTTCACGGTTCCGAGCCAGATTTTGCACCCCACAGACCGTTATATTTGCATTGCGTCCCACGACTCGTCTCTCATCTGCAGCTCGCCTCCGTTCTTTACCTTTCTTTTTCACCGACTACCCTCCGTTCTTTCACCGCTGCGTCCTTCCTTCCCTTCTCCTGTTTGTTTTTTTAATTTTATTTGCCGCTTCAGCATGCAACTGTGACCAATGTCGACATCGGATCGCATCTCGCGACCCACCAATCCCGATGGCCTCGTGCTCGAGGCATGGGGCCAGGGCCTCATGCTGGGCTGCCTGCTGGTCATGGCCTCGGTGACCTTTGTCAACATGAAGAAGCACATCCTGCTCCACAAATTGATTCTCGTGGAGTTGATCCTGGCCATGCCCAATGGGACCTTCATCTTCCCCAAAGACCCCGTCTACGGGTGGTACCAGAGCGTCACGGCCATCGGGCTGAATGTCTCGTGGAGCTTGCACAATGTGATCGCCTGGGTGAAGAACCGCCCGTTCATGTCGAGGAAGGTCTCGCTGTTCTATATCGGGACCGTGATCCTGGCGCAGCCCTACTGGGTGCTGGAGATTTATGCCAATTTTGCCTATTTCAACAACTACAACAAGATCTTTCTAACCACGAGGCCGCTGGAGCCTATTTTCCGGTACGTCCTTGTCCCCTATTTTCGTAAGGATTGAACTGATTGAGTAGTGACCCCTGGTGGATCTTCACCACCTGCTCCCTCTTCTACACCATCAAACGCGAATACAACTTTGGGATCATCGAGCTGGTCAGCGTCTCCCCGCGCTTTGGCATCATGCTGGCGTCCATGTGTCTCTCCATTGCGTTCATGATCGTCGATACCTGCAGCGTCCTCAACGTGTTTAGCCATACGTCCTTGCCGACGGGCATCGAGCCATTCTGGAAGGTATTTTTCTCTACCATCTTTCAAGAGGAATGCTGACAGTACAGCTGTCGTTCATCTTCAAATGTCTCTGCGACACCGTCATCCTCGACGACTTCAAAACCGCCCTAGATCGCATGCGCGCCTATTGGCTTCGGAAACGGAACATGGGCGGCGAAATCCTATTACATACCGGCGAGCATCACCGCCAGCATCATCGTATAGAGGGCAGTGGACGGTTACGCCCGACGGACGAGGACATTGAAGCTCTGACTGGGAATGGGGGAGATGGGCGGAAATCGGAGTCAGTCCCAAAGGTATATACGCGCGAGCATATCAGAGGATAGGAGTAGGAGTATAATCAGTATAATGATGTATATACATACATGACTAATTGAAATATTGAGTTCTGCATATATCAGATGCACCTACCCAGATCAGGCAGCTTCTCACGTGCACGCAGGAACAATTAATTAACTATAAATCTCAAACGAATTTAAGCATTTGAAACAGAGGCCCGTCATTCTCCGTCGCAGTCGTCGCAGTCCGTCGGCAGAAGAGTCGACCATGACGGAATGCAGGTGTCGATCTTCTCTGTATGCTCTGATCTTTCCAGTTGGCGACACCCCGATTGGGGCTAGCGCTGTTGGTGGATCTGCCAAGTGTTGTTCTTTGCGTTGCAGGATAATTATGTTGATCTTTGAATTCAATACCCTTGTCCATCAATCTATTCAACACCCTGATCAACGATTTCCAGGTTCCTGATAAAAGTGGCGTCTTGCTTGGTCTAGTCTACGGTTGCTGGTATCGGCTTGCGCGTCAGGGCCATCAAAACCTGGAGATTCCGCTTGGCCTGCCAATCTCCATCGACCAGGATCCATCAACCGGCTCAGTGGAGATGATTCCGTGCAGGTGACCGATCTGATCTCAGGTTGATTTTGCTGTTGTCGGCCCCTGTAGATCCTCATCTCTGCCTTTAGTGCTATATCTACGTCGCATCTCCACTCCCTGTTTGCTTTGTTTTCTGTTTGTGCAACCTTTGTCACTCTTTGTATACATACACGTTCATTCTGTTTATAGACCTGCCGTTGAAATGCCAGGCCGAGGGTTACCCAGGGTACTCAGGGTACTCAGCGGGTGCACCCTACTGTCACTCGGTGCCGTCACTGTCGTGGCAGAAGATACCTGGCCGTACATGACCCTGCAGACTGCTCCATACCAGCCTCCTCAGATCCATATCACCAAGAGCGGCACCACCGACCCGGGCTACCTCTTTGTTGGCCCCCGTGGTAACCAGCCGGCAGGCACGGCGGCGTTGATCTACGACGAGGACGGCAACCTGGTCTACCAGGGCCCGGACGATGTGACGGCCAATTTCCGGGTGCAGCGGCTGTTCAACCAGGATGTCATCACCTTCTGGGCCGGCAACATGACGGACCTGGGATTTGGATATGGCTCCGTCCACATCCTCGACAATACCTACCGGGAGATCTACACGGTGACCCTGCAGGGAGACTTTGAGACGCCGGACAACAGCGTGCCGGATTCGTACATTGACCTGCACGAGAGTCACATCTCGGGCCGCAATACGTTGCTGGTCACGGCCTACAACGTCACCCAGCAGTCCCTGACGTCGATCGGGGGGACGCCGGAGGATTACATGATGGACAGTCTGTTCTACGAGATCGACATTGCCACCAATGAGATTGTGCATTCGTGGAGCGCTCTGGAGCATGTCGACCAGATTGCCCTGACGGATTCCAAACAAGGGATTGAGGACGATTATGGAACGCATGAGCAGCCGTGGGATGCGTATCATATCAACTCGGTGGAACTGTTTGACCAGGGGTACCTCGTCTCTCTGCGTCACTACTGGTCTGGGTATTATGTCCATAGCAATGGGACTGTCATGTGGCAATTTAGTGTACTCCCCCTTCACCCTTTGTATGTGTTTAGTACTGACAAACCAGGGCGAACTGGGCAAAGGCGACTTTCAACTGGACCAGGCCGGCGCGTTCTCCTGGCAGCACGACATGCGCATCTACAATCAGACCGAAACCGGCATGATCCTGAGTCTGTTCAACAACGCCAACACCCCTACTGAGACTGTTGCGCCGACGACGGGTTTGAGTTATGCAGTGGATCTGGTCAACCGCACGGCGAAGACACTTCGCACGCTGAGCGACAGCAAGGACGTCATCCACAGCGTCAGTCAAGGCAACTACGAACTGCTGGGCCCGTCGGGTCATGTCGTGCTGGGCTACGGCTCCATCGCCAAGATCAAAGAGTTTGACGCCAACGACAAGGAGGTCCTCACGGCGCAGTTTGGCACCGACAACGAGGTGGCCTCGTACCGGGGGTACAAATGCGCCTGGAAGGCGACGCCGTTCTGGGCGCCGGCGATTGTGGTCCGTCGGGTGTCGGATGATTCCGCCCAGGTTTTTATGAGCTGGAACGGGGCGACCGAGTATGACAATTGGGCTGTCATGGCGGCGGACGCGCTGGACTCTGTCAATACCACGATTGTCACTACCTTTAAGCGCACTGGCTTTGAGACGTCTGGTACGGTTCGGGGGTTAAAGACGCCGTATCTGCAGGTGGTTGCTCGTCGGGGAGATATTCCTCTTGGCATGTCGCCTATTGTCAGTTTTTAGCTGCTGTACATATACATCACTCACATACTATTAATAGATCAGCATAGCGTCTATAGACTTGTTACATACGCTTTACATGAGTGGCAGTAACTCGGGTGTACATGGTTGCATATCGGGTGTACCACATCGCAGCCCTCACTGTAGTACAGTGTAGACATGATCATGAGCTGGTACTCTAGGTATATAAACCTAGACCCTCACCACCTCACTCACCCTCACCTCAACCTGACGAACAACACAACAAGAACACCAGAAGAGAAACAGAAAATGTATCTCAACCTCCTCACCCTCACTCTGACCCTCTGTCTCTCCCCAGCTCTAGCCATAACCATGACCCGACTCAAACCAACAAACCAAACCCTCGGCCACGCCACCATCCACAACACCTGCCAGAAGGAAATCTACCTCTGGTCCGTCGGCTCAACCATCTCCCCGCAGTTCACCATCCCCCCAAACACAACCTACACCGAGCCGTACCGCCGCGACCCCGCCAGCGGCGGCATCGCGCTCAAGCTCACGCGCGTGCAGAACGGGCTGTATACCGCGGCGCCGCAGATGGTGTTTGCGTATAACCTGGTGCAGCGGCGGATCTGGTATGATTTGTCGGATGTTTTTGGGGATCCATTTTTGGGAGTTAGGGTCAGGGTTGAGTATCGCTCGCTGGCTGGAGAGGAGGGGGAAGATGAAGAGAAAGGGATTGAGTGGGTGGATGGGGTGTCGCCGGGGGGAAGTATGGTTAGGGTTGCGGATGCGGAGGGGGATTTGGTTTTGACTGTCTGCTAGACATTCTTGTGGAGTTTTCTATTAAGATGGGATGAGGTGAGGGGAGATGGTAATATGGTAATACTATGTCGGTTCTGTTCTGCTGTGCTTGCTAGTAGTAATTCAATGCGTTTCTTATAGTATATCTAGACTGGGGTGATTTGTAGTCCCCACAGTAACCTCGGCATTGAAGTAGCAGAGCAGTACTCTGCCATTATGTATATAATTCGGAAGATGATTGTTCACTGTCTCAGTATATACTCAGATGACGTTTCGCTTTTACAGTAATCTCTCTACGGACTGTATCTGAGCTGAAGAATAGATCAAGATGCTATTTCTATTCGCTCGTTTGGCCGATTATCTTCTTATCCTCCGACCTGTGCATTCTCGGGCAGAAGACCGACGCTGACCGCTGAATAAATAATTGGAGATCCCCATCAATATTCCCCGCACTTTGCCATCTCCCTCCTTGTTCTTTCACCACAACAATATCATCGAGACAACTCCTACTCTACTTCTAAGATGACTTCTATAAGAGTGGCGCCGTCGGCCGCCAACAGAGCCTTGAATCTCCTCCGCACAGTGCAATATACCCATCCTCCCTCCTGTCCCTGCCACTCCAACCCCAATCACCACCATCACCTGCAATCCAACCATGTCCGCCGCCTGGCCACTCCCATTGATCCCTCGCGCCAGAAAGAGTACGCCTTTGAAATGGCCGCCTCGAGTATTCGCTTCGGACCTGGCGCGACCAGGGAGGTAGGCATGGATTTTGCCAATATGAAGGCCAAGCGCGTGTGTATCGTGACCGACCAGAACGTGGCCAAGCTGGATGCCATGAAACAAGCGGTGGAGGGACTGACCAAAGAGGGGATCGAATTCACCGTCTATGACAAGGTGCGCGTGGAGCCAAAGGATAGCTCGTAAGTTGCAAGTCCCCAAGAGTCAGGCAACGCTAACTCCAGCAGAGTGAAAGATGCCATTGCGTTTGCAAAGCCTTATAACCCCGATGCTTTTCTGGCTGTCGGTGGCGGCTCGGTTATCGACACGGCCAAGTTGATGAACCTCTACACCGTCTTCCCCGAGGCCGACTTTCTCGACTTTGTCAACGCCCCCCTGGGCAAAGGACTCCCCGTCACCAAGGCCCTGCGGCCGCTGGTCGCCGTCCCAACAACTGCCGGCACCGGGTCCGAAACCACAGGAACCGCCATCTTCGACCTCGTGTCGAAAAAAGCCAAAACGGGCATCGCCCACCGCAACCTCAAGCCCACGCTGGGCATCTGCGACCCGCTCAACACCCGCACCATGCCCTCGGCCGTCCACGCCTCCTCCGGCCTCGACGTCCTCTGCCACTCGCTCGAGTCCTGGACCGCCATCCCCTACAACGAGCGCACCCCGCGCCCTACCAACCCCATCAACCGGCCCGCCTACCAGGGCGCCAACCCCATTTCCGACATTTTCTCGCTGCAGGCCCTGCGCAGCACCGTCAAGTACCTCCCCCGCGCCGTCCGCGACCCGGACGACTTCGAGGCCCAGTCCCAGATGCTGCTGGCCGCCACCCTGGCCGGCGTCGGGTTCGGGAATGCCGGCGTCCACCTGTGCCACGGCATGAGCTACCCCATCTCCAGCCAGAACCCGGGGTACAAGCATGCGGGATATGACGTCGACCACCCGATTATTCCTCATGGCGTGTCCGTCGCTGTCACCGCGCCCGCCGTCTTCCGCTTCACGGCCGCCTCGAACCCCGACCGGCATCTGGCTGCCGCTGAGGCTTTTGGCGTGGATATCTCGAATGTCAAGCGCGAGAGCGCGGGAGAGGTCCTCAGCGAGGCGCTGACCAAGTTTTTGGCTGAACTGGGTGATCAGCCGCGCGGGCTGAAGGATCTGGGCTTCAAGCATTCGGATATCGACTCGTTGGTCGAGGGGACGATCCCGCAGAAACGGGTGTTGATGCTGGCGCCGAGTCTTAGTGCAGAATTGGAAAAAGAGAGGGAGGAGCTGAGGGGGTTACTCGAGCAGTCGATGGAATATTAGCTTGCCTCGTATATAACAACAATGCATTCTATATCAATGACACCTACTCCTACTATGCAGATGCAGTCACTATACATGATACACTCATGGATCAATCCTCCCAGATAATCCTCAACCCAATCACCCCCATCGAAGACGCCACCCGGTCCAGCCAGGTGACGGGCAAAGCCTCGCTCGACGCACTCGACACCCCACGCTGAAACTCCGACTCCACGCGGAACCCGCGTCCCCGTCCTCGTCCCCGTCCTCGTCCAACCCGGAGCCAAACCAGCAGGCTCTGCAGCGCAGACACCATATCCTCCGCTCCTCGTAGCAGCAGCCCGGGGCCTGTCTCCTCTTGACTATCGACACCGCCCAACACCCCCCTCAACTCTCGAACCAACCGAACCAACCGAACCAGCCGGCCCCTCGTCGCCCGCACCCTGGCGACCAACCCCTCATCCACATCACCCTCCACCTCCCAACCGGGGTTTTCGCCAGGGGATCCGGATCCCTCCGGACGGTCCTCCAGGAGGTCCTCCGGCAGCGCCTCCGCAAAATACCGCGGACACCGCACAACCTCCATCCAGATCCGCTCACACACATCCACCACGCGCGCATGCTCACCCCGCCCCGCCTTGCGCACATCCTCGGCGCGGATCCGCCCCGCAAACCGCAGCCACGGCTCCTCGTCCAGGAAGCACGCGCGCCCCTCGTAGATGGCCGTTGCGACAAGGAACCCGCGGAAGGCGATGTAGCAGCCGCGCGCGAAGCCGGGGCCTTCGCCTTCACTGCTAGCGCTAGCTGGTTGGTCGTCGGGGCTGTCGTCGGTGTCGGTGTCGGGGTCTGCTTCGGCGGGGCCCCGCGCTAGCATAATCCTCCGTACACCGTCAACGTGCACGACGAATGCGTCTGGCGACGTCCGCGCGTACATCTCGTACACGGCGAGCATCATGATGGTGGCGAGGAGCGGGGCGGACAGTGCGGCGGGGGAGTGCAGTGCTGCAACGACGTGGGTGAGGGCGTGCGCGTACAGCTGGCGGCTGCGGCGGGTGTGCTGGGCTGGATCGGGCGAGAACTGCGCGGTGTAGATTGATGTTAGACAGGCGAGGGTGGCGGCGAGGTAGGGGGCTGCACCCGAGGCGTAGGAGGCGGCGACGTGCGCGAGGAAGTCGGGGCGGTTGTGCGCGCGGAAGAGGTTGGAGGTGTAGAGCGTGGGGAAGGCGGAGTGGAGGTAGGAGGCGAAGAGGTGTGGTTGTTGCATTTGCAGCTGCATTTGGTGCTGGAGGTGGGCTTGGGCTTGCGAGTAGGAGGAAGAGTCCTCTGAGTGGGTCTGGCGCATCATCGCGAGGGCGTTGTTGCGAACGGCTGCTGCTGCCGCAGCTGCGTCTGTGGTTGATTCAGGAGGTCTGCGAGACTGGGACCTTGACTGGTGCCGTCGTTGGAGGGCTGGTCCTTCGTCCTGGAAGCGAAAGGTGCGGCGGTAGCCTGGACAGGGGCGGCCGTATTTGCGGCATTGGGAGCATTGGGGGACGGCCTCGTCGCACTGTTTTGTCAGTCGTTGAGAAGAGAGTAGGAGTAGAGACACCGACCTTGACGCGTCTTTCGCGGCACAGCGCGCAGCCTGTGCTATGGGGGACTCCGACCATGGTATCTTACAGTCCAGCCAGTTGATATCTTACAGTCACGGCCAGCGTGGATCAACAGTTGACAACGATCTATAGTAGCTCAAAGAAAAACGCTTGCAAGACGACAAGAAAGGAATGTGTTGAAGGAGTGTGTGTGTGTGAGTTTGACAAACTCAATCACATCGAGACGAGCGAGCTTTTCTATCTGATCTCCATAGCTAAACAGGATGCAGAAAGGACCCCAATCGGCCGAACTAAGTACGAGCAGCACGCCAAATGACGACGTCCAGACTGACAATCGCCAGTTGAGGACAGACCGTTAACCTTTTTTTGGATCTGCATCTCGACCGGACTGTTGAGCTATGATGATCATGCAAGAGCCACGAGGTGCCATGCTTGGCCCCCACGGTTCTTGACGTCGACGTCTTGAATGTAGACTCATCAAAAGCGGTCCGTAGTCTCGGGATGCCTTGACTCGTTGCTGTCATGGACGCTGGTATAATTATCCATCACGGACGAATAGCTGCCCAGCAAGCATGGGGGCCATGACAGAGCATCAAGATGAGGTCAAAGTGAAGTCAAACTCTCAAACGGTAGCTTGATGGATCCGAACGAGTAGGTCGGCTAGTGATTAAAATAGCATCATCCTCGTAGTGTATGCCTGATGATTGGCGTGTTTCTCGGCGCGGCTCTCGTTAGACGGGAATGGGATATACGAGCCTGCATCGATCCTCTGCTGATCTGTGCTTTGCCTTTTTTGGAGATGCACTCGTGAAACAATCGCCAGAGATGAAAGTCATCAAGGTCAAACACGACGATGACCCACTCGACTCGTGTTCGTCAGGTTTCGTGAAGCACTCCTCGTATATCTAGTTCCATCCGGTTATAATTGTGTGGAGGATGATGGGCAGAGTGCTTACCCTCTAATATTAACAGTCTGCTCGGGGCCATTCGACTGGAAATGACAGACTAGAATAGCAACACTGATGATGATATGGCCCGTACCCCGCATATCTTCATTCTTTCATTCTCTTGGTCAAACTATAAGAGATACCAGTTAGGAAACCAGAGTTTGTTGAACAAATAAGGACACGTTAGTCCATAAGACATGTCACCTACCTCACTCGTCAAGTCTCCAAAGAAGATCAATCAATTCAGCGGCAAGCTCGACAAAGACAAACATCAGATGACACAAGATAAAAGCAAAGATGGGTAATCTACCTCATTGTCAAAGATGATAATTGACATCCACGAATCACACCGAAGCCATCCCGCAACCCCGCAGTCTCGCAATGTACTCACCTTATGCAGATTAACCAGTCTCTCGATGATTGGTACGGGGAACAGACACAGACATGAGGCCTGCATAGATATGATGCTATTGCCTCGAGATATGCCTCCGTTATTAGGTTACAGCACACTGGTGGCGTCTCTGAACCAATGGCCGTCAATACTTGCAGTCTGGCTAATGCATCCCTTGACAAAGTCAATTGATTCAAGTCTAATATATAAAGCTCCAGGTTCTAGCCACCGGTCTTTCTCATTACAATCCTTCCAGTCAATGCCCCTACGATCATGCCCTCTGCCAAACAACCCCCTCCCAAAGTCCTCGTGCCGGAAAAACTGTCGCCAGATGGATTGGCTCTCTTGCGTGCGTCGCTCGAAGTAGACGAGCGAAAGGGTCTCGATGCGGATGAACTTCTCGAGATCATTCCCGAATATGAAGCTCTGGTCGTCCGGTCCGAAACCAAAGTCACGGCTACTCTCCTTCGAGCCGCCAAACAACTCAAGGTAGTTGCCAGAGCGGGAGTAGGAGTGGACAATGTGGGTGAGTTAGGCCAGGCTGACTCGTAGACCATTGATCAACGACTATTGACACATTGGGGCTTCAGACGTCGAGGAAGCCACCAAGCTAGGCATCGTCGTCGTCAACTCGCCGTCGGGCAACATCGGGGCTGCCGCAGAACATACCATTGCCCTGCTGATGACCATGGCGCGGAACATCTCCGAGGCCTGCAGCAGTCTGAAGAGCGGCAAATGGGAACGGAGCAAGTTTGTCGGAGTCGAGGTGAAGGGCAAGACCTTGTCGATCATCGGTTTGGGAAAAGGTGAGCTTCTGCATCTGAGGGACGAGCTGTGAACACATCGTCACACCACCGTTTCTACTACGAATGATCGAGTTATGGCTGACTGACAACAGTCGGCTTGACGGTCGCACGGCTCGCCAAAGGGCTGGGAATGAACGTCAACGCGCTCGATCCGTATGCATCCCCTGCCGTCGCGGCGTCGGCGTCTGTCACCCTGGTCTCGTCGCTGTCAGAGCTGCTGACCACGGCGGACTTTCTCACCATCCACACGCCGTTGATCGCGTCAACCAAGGGGATGATCTCGACGGCCGAGCTCGCGCAGATGAAGCCCGGCTCCCGCATCCTCAACGTCGCTCGCGGCGGCACCATCGACGAAGCCGCCCTGCTGGAGGCCCTGGAGGCGGGCCACCTGGCCGCAGCCGCCATCGACGTCTTCACGTCCGAACCTCCCCAGCCGGACTCGACTGCCGGTCGGTTGATCGCCCATCCCCGCGCGGTCGTCACCCCCCACCTCGGCGCCTCCACGGTCGAAGCACAGGAAAACGTCTCCATCGACGTCTGCGAGCAGGTCCTCCAGATCCTAAACGGCTCTCTCCCCCGCAGCGCAGTCAACGCGCCCCTCATCCTCCCCGACGAATACCGCAAGCTGCAGCCGTTTGTCCGGCTCGTCGAGAAGATGGGCAGCCTATACACGCAGCACTACGCCTCGACCGTGGGCGGGTCGATGACGCGCAACACCTTTGACCTCATATACCACGGCGAGGTGGCCGGCATCAGCAACACGCGGCCACTGTTCGCCGCGCTGATCAAGGGCCTCCTGGCCCCGATCAGCAGCTCCGAGGGCATCAACATCAACATCGTCAATGCCGAGCTGGTCGCGCGCGAACGCGGCATCTTCGTCAACGAGCAGCACTCGCGCGATCCGGCGGATCATTCGTACTCGTCTCTTGTGACGCTGGTCGCGAGGCCGCCTTCGCGCGCTTCGTCCCGTGCGCCCGTGCCGGAGGCTACCTCTCAGGCCGGACCAGTGCCGCAAGACCAGCGCATCATCTCCGGGACGTGCAGCGGCGACCAGCCGTTGATTAATCGGCTGGGCCGGTTCGAGACCTCGTTTGTCCCGGAGGGAACGCTGCTCATCTGCGAGAACTACGATTCTCCGGGGAAGATTGGGGCGGTGGGCAGTCTCCTGGGGCAGGAGGGCGTCAACATCAACTTTATGACGGTGGCTCCGGTTTCAAGGAAGTTTGTATCTGTACCTGACGGAGACTCAAAGTCGAAGCACGAGGCGTTGATGATCCTGGGGATCGACAAGGTCGTGGACCAGCGAGTGGCCGATGGGCTAGTCAAGGGGGGAGGAGTCTTGAGCGCGAGTGTCATTTCTCTTTGATCAAACTGCATCCTGAACGGCAAAAATTTGTCCTGTGATCAGTAGATCTGTTGAATTAAATTACCACTTACCAAATGGAGAAATTCAGCCATTCCTTCATTTAACCTTATAATAGGATGGGACCCCCACATCCTATAGTTAATACAGGATGGGAAATTAATATGGGATTCCCACCACTAAGGGTAAAAAGGGAAGGGAACTAGCCATGGGACTCCCATGGGAATTCCCTTCCCTTCCCAACGGCCAGCCTATTAAGGTAGAATCCAGCAAGAGAGATGAGCTGTGTGAGCGAATATTGCTACGACAGAATCCTTTTAAATCTAAATACCTTCATTTCTTAAGGCATAGCACCTTGTTAGTCATTTATTCGAAAGAATCAGACCTTTATTTAATTCTAATCTTATATATAAATTCTTAGTCTTTTTGAAACTTTACTAGCATAGTTAAATTCAAAAAGATTAGTTAATCTATTTCTGCACTTACAGATGACCTGTAACCTGTTAGTTTAATTAAGGCCCTGCATTATGTATATCGGTCCAGGTACCGTAGGTAGATAAACAATGCATTCCCTTCATCATGAATCACATCAACATCACACCAAGAATACTCACATCATCATAATCATATCATCATAATATCAAAATGAAAACACCACTCATCCTTACCCTGCTAGCACTCACTTCTGCAATAGCAACAGCAAAAACCCTCCAATCCCCCTTTGACTCCCCCAACACCAACAAGACCATGAACAACAAGATGAAATCAGGCAACCCTGTAATCCCAGGCTGGTACGCCGACCCGGAAGCCCGCATCTTCAACCAACGATACTGGATCTACCCAACCTACTCGGCCGCCTACGAAACCCAAACCTTCTTCGACGCCTTCTCCTCGCCCGACCTCCTCACCTGGACCAAACACCCCCGCATTTTGGATTTCGGGAACATCCCCTGGTCCACCAATCGCGCTGCCTGGGCGCCCTCCGTCATTCGTTGGCCTGCCCTTGCATCTCCCAGAGCCAAGGGCAGTAGACCTTCCACAGGGAAAAGGGAGGATGATCATGGGGATGGGTATGATTACTTTATGTACTTCTCCGCAGGCGACGGGGCAGGGATAGGCGTTGCGAAATCGACGACTGGCAGACCGGAGGGCCCCTATGCGGATGTTCTTGGGAAGCCGCTTGTCCCGAGGACGGTGTTTGGCGCGGAGGCGATCGACCCGCAGGTGTTTATTGATGATGACGAGCGCGTGTGGTTGTATTTCGGGGGTTGGAGCCATGCGGTGGTGGTGGAGTTGGGGAGTGATATGGTGAGTTTGAAGGGGGAATATTTGGAAATAACCCCCAAGGGGTATGTTGAGGGGCCGTGGATGATGAAGAGGGAGGGGGTGTATTACTTTATGTTTAGTGTGGGGGGGTGAGTCCTTTTCCCTACTCTCCTTGGTCAAGGCAAAGTGCTAATGGATACTGATAGATGGGGAGATGACTCCTACGGGGTGAGTTATGTCACTGGGGAGTCGCCTACGGGCCCGTTTACCACAGAGCCGGTCAAGATTCTCTCTGGGAATGCGAGGGTCGGTACCGCGACGGGCCATAACAGTGTGTTTACGCCGGATGGACAGGACTACTATATCGTCTACCATCGGCGGCCGGTGAACGACACCGAGCGCGATCACCGCGTGGTCTGCATCGATCGGATGGAGTTTGATGAAGAGGGGAATATCCGGCCGGTGGTGATTACGACTAAGGGCGTAAATGCAAGGGCATTGAGTTAGCCTGTCTAGCATACGTGCTTTGCTTCATGAGTATCAATAGTGCTATTATATACCTTTTCAACGCCAAACTCCAGTAATGCATGGGTATCGTATCAAAACATTGAGCTGCGCTTTTTATGCAACTTTGAATCATCCGACGACCGTCGGAACCCAAAGAAACTACTCTTTTTCGGCTGCAGCTGCCCCTGTAACTGTCCCTGTCCCTGACCCTGTGGCCGCGGCGGCTGCAGGAAATGCACCGTCGAGTGCGGTCGAGGCGTAGGCACAGAGCCAGGCGCATGCGGCCGCGGAGTCGCAACTGGTCCCAGCATCAGATGCGACATGGACGGTGCCTGCTGGTGGTAGTAGTACCGCGGATGCGGCCGCGGAGGGGGATGCGGTTGCTGCTGCCGAGGAGGTGGTTGAGGACGCGGCGACTGCGCAGGAGGACGAGCAAGGTTCATGGTGCTGGCGCGCACCTGCTGCTCCTCGTGGCCGTAGATCTTCTGCAGTCGGCGAGTCTCCTTGTCGATTTCGGCCTGGCGCTTGCGGCGAGCCTTCTCCTCTTCTTCTAGCTTTTTCTTGGTCCGTTTTTCCTCCTCCTTGCGCGAGAGTTCTTGCTTTTTCTTCTGTTGCTGCGTTGGAGCCGGGGGTTGAGTCTCTGCTGGACGCGAGGGTGCAGGCTGTTTGACGTTGGTTTTTGTATTCGAGGCGACCGGCGTAGGCTTCTGATTCTGCAAGCCCGTACCCTTCTGGGGCATTGTGCTGGCACTGACATTGACAGTACTGCCTGTCGGACCAGCCACAGGCTTCCTTCCCACCTCCTCCCTCACAATCCGAAACGCGTCCTTCATCGGGGTAAAGTAGACATCGCGGATGGTCACCGCTCCCAGCAAGAGCACAACCTCCAGCCCCTTGAAATCCTCCATCTCCACCCGGTACAGGTTCGGCTCGTACAGCGTCAGCTCCCGTAGCGCCTTGAAGATCGACAGCGTGATATCCGGCTCCTTGCTCTTCGTCCGCCCCTCGGGCAGCGTCGACGTCTTCCCAGACAGCAGACACGTCAGGTCCTTGGACAACTTGCTATCCTTGCGCCAGCTGAACCGCAGTTTCGGAGTCGTGTCTGCCAGAGCCGGGTCGGTCTGCGTCCGGTCGAGCGTCGAGGCCGACGGCTGCCGGAAAGTGTGCTGCGGCATCTCGAATTCCCACGTTGCCGGCGTATTCCACGTCTTGGGCTTGTAGCGGACCGTCACCTGCTGGTCGGGGTTGTACAGGTGGACGATGAACTGCGAGGGGAGAATGGGTTCTGGGGGAGGCGTGACCCCGCCGTTCAGCCGGATCGCCTCGGCGGATAGACTGGGTTGTGTCCATTCCAGGATGATTAGAATCTCGCCGTAGACGACATCTGGCACGAAAGGATCACAGAGTGCGACGGCATAGCGGTTCTTGGAGGAGGGGGAGGCGGGATCGGGGTAGCGGAGGGTGTAGGCAGGTTCCGGGTCGTCGCCGTGCTGGCAGAGATAAATAGTCCAGAGGTGTTTTTGTTGGTCATTTGGCTTGAGATAGAAGGCTGTCGTAGTCGTCGTCAGTCAGTCAGCAGCCAGTCTTCAAGCTATTTTTGGTGAATGAGTGAATGACGTACTGGGAAGGTTCTCGTCAAGCATTGTGCGTGGATATCGCTACGGTGTGAACATTCAATGAGAACCGCTGGTCTGCAGTGGTTGATATAATTCAGCCATTGATTAATGGCCACGCGTCGAAATATACCACCGATGGAAGAGGAAGTGGAAGTTGTCTCAGAGGTGCCTGGTGACGAGCCTGAGGCTTGCTTCTCTGGGGTACTGCCGCTATTGCGCCACTGGATACGCACCTAAAAATAGCGCATTCCATCTTCTTTCCCCCCCAAAGCTTAAAGATACGGGTTAGCAATAGCTTACTAAACGTTTCAAGTCGTCAAATAGGCAGATATATTTTACAACTCTATCTAACTCTGAAGATCTGCTACTATGCAGAAGCATTGACCGAACGATGATAGGCAGGTTTGTCTATAGTGCCGTCTCACCATCCTCCGTTCGTGTATCATATCTGTCAGGAAATAGGCAGAACTCAACTCAATTGGACGGATGGCAATCCAGCTATTTGCATGAATCGACAGATTATATACTAATCTGACAGGTCCTCTGACAATGGAACTGAATTCGAACCTAGGACTATCCAGCTCTACTAGCCGTCAGAACATTCTGACGATTCAGCGAGACAGCACCAGCAGAATGAATCAACAAACGTGCTTGCAAATGTGATTGTGACAAGATGGACCTACATACGAAAACAAGCTCAATGTTGTTGCCTTGAGCACTGCCTCAGAGGACGGGTGAAATCCGCCTTGCGGATCAGTCCACCGCTATCGATCATGATCGTGCAATTGGGCTATTCTGTCGTGCTCTGCCTCTTAGCTCAGATTGAAGGCAGTCTAGGTGGAGGCTGGTGCAGCTAACCCTTGTTTATGCCTTTACTGGAGTTACAGTGACCCTGGCCCAGGTTCTGAAGGACTGCATAGACTTGAATGTATTGGCAGAGGATCTTGCTATTGAGCGAATAGCTGGTCGATGAAGTACATGATTTTTCCATTCTGATTCTCAACTGACTTCCTGACTTCCTGACCCTGGGGATCTCGGATTCACTCCCTCAGAGCAATGCATTCATCATCGGGTTGCGATATAGCGAGATCGTTGGACGCGTGGCCTGGGATGAATTAGCGTCTGTTCAGTCTCTGGTCTTGGTCTCTCAAGGACGTACCGTATACAAACAAGATCAATCGGAATGAATTCCCGCCGGTCATGATTGTGTATCTAGGCCCTGGTCAGTCTCGTCCACCCGGGGGAGTGGAATACTAACCTTGCCGTAGATGAATAGCTCTGTAATATCCTGTTCCCTCTTCTCATCGCGCTTCCAATGTTCGGGTAACGTTGCCCAGCCTCTGCCGGTATAGGCTTTTGTCCTGTATCCAACATCCCTGGCGTACATCAGTAACATCTCGCTCACTTGAATGGGTAGGGATGAACTTATTCGGCGAGCGTCTCGCGTCTCGCATCTCGCATCTGTTGAACTGGCTCACATGGCCCTGGCTAATAAGTGAAGCAAAGCCTATACCCCGTAAGCCATACACCCGTGGATTCGGACGTACCTGAAGTCGAGTCTCGAGTCACGTCGCTAAACTTGAACGATTTTGTCAAAGTCAGAGTCGGCCTGATCGAGATTAGCTGTCATCTTTTAGAGGGAGGGTTCGAGACTTAGGAAGATCATAATATATTGGCATTGTTATCTCCTGATTGAACAAATATATTCCATTCTGGAAAGTTGATAGTGATCCTGTTTCCGTTAGCAACTGACGGGTTGGGGTCACTTACTAGACTCGAACTGATATCCTGAAGATCAATCACACTATGCACGATCCTGAAAACCAGACATTAGGATCTGCTTGCCTTTCCGGACGGGCTCACCTGTTTGATACTGTTCTGGTAGAGTAAGCTAACCGAGTCCGTCTCGGAGATGAACCGGAGAAGGCTCTGGCTGATTGCAAAGGTATGCAGCGATCGATATTCTTATAGACGACGGCTCACAATGAACGGCTGACTTTCACGCAGCCTTTGTCGCTGTCTTGCTGTTGCGTCCGTTTGTTCTATTCTGGTCGACTCGGCGAGCTTTGTACTTTTGTCTCTCAACACATAATGGCTATTGTTCGGGTGTTGCAAGTATGTCTCCAATCCACGGAAATCTTCCTTCAAGAATCGCATCGAGTCCAATCATCGATGCGATCTCGAAACCTTGTTCCCTGTCGGGGGCATGGATGTGAAACGGCTGCCTTTGTTGCATTCGTTATTGAGATACCCGGCTTTGTTTGATTCAACCGCAACCGTTGAGATCGACTCTTTATTTCCCTCATTTACATTCAAATGAAACACCTGAACCAATGGATTGCTTTCTATCTTGCATCTATTTTCGTCTAGATCTATGTTCAGTCCAAATTTCATGCAGCAGCCAACCCTGGCAAGTATAAGTCCACCCAGCGTCTCAGACTCTGACACCCTCGACCTCCTTGCCATGTGGAACCGTGGCTTGTTCTCTCTCGGCTGTGCTCAGTTGCAAGCCCTGGTCATCCCATCCTTGTGTGCCGAGCTTGTACAATGTCTTTTGTCTCTCACGATCGAGCATCGGGCCGTCCTTACCACGGCGATGGCGCGATTCCACTGTCTCAACCATTGTCGCATTTTCGCCGTCCAAAGGGTAACCTTCCAGGTCATCTCTGTGTGTCTCGTCGGAGAAGGCGAAGGTGCGGTACTCCGTGTTGCTCCAACCGGTTCCTTACAAGCGTCAGTCACATTGTCTCCTCCTCATCTGAAGACGAGGACATGACATACCCTGGTATTGACTGCTATCCTCCCAGTCCTCCGTGAAATAGTGCAGGAAACCACCGTGCGTGACGACAATGATCTCCTTCTCCGGTCTTCCCTTCATCCAGCGCCGCGCCGCACGCGCGCGGTTCTTGATCGCCTCGTTGGTCGGCGCATAGTGACCAGTCTGAATACCGTCAGTCTCCCTTCTCCATCCCGAATCGAAGGAAACAAACCTTGCTATTCCATCCCTCCTGCACTAAACTCATGTCCACAGGGATTCCCTTCTCCTCCATCTCCTTCTGCAGAACCTCCGGGTCACTCCCCGTATCGCAGGGAACGTCACTGGTCTCTTGCACATCCGGCAGCAGCACGATCTTCATATCCTTGTGCTTCTCGAACACGGGCTGGAAGCTCTGGTATGCAGTGTAGATGGTCCGTCGGAGAGGCGACGCGGTGATCAGCTCGATCCGATCATGGAAGGGGAAGTTGTCGCGAAGAAGGCGACATTGTTCGTTTCCGAGGTCGGTCAGGGAGGGATCGTGGATGACATGGTTCGCTGTGCTTAGGTTATGGACGCCCTGACGGTGTGGTTAATTTGGAGTACGTAGGAAGATGTCTGCAATGAGA